TACATTTACTTTAGCGAGTTTCCTGATTTTCTATAAAAAACGTGTTAAGAGGATATTTCCTGCGTACTACTTAGTGCTTTTTCTAATTCTTTTATCTGGCTATTTCTTACTGGCTTCAAAGGATTACATGACTATTCAGGACGACTCTATTTGGGCTGCTGGTTTTGCTACAAACATACACAAGTACCTACAAAACCTAGACTACTTCACTGAGGTGGCTACGTTTGTTCAGCGTAAATGAAAGAAACTGATGACTTTTTCAAACTGTTATAAAACTTATAACAAAAAAAAATTAATTTTCGAAGTTTCAAACGTTTGTAAAGAAGCATATAATTCAGATATCCAACTATGATTTTCTATTGCATACCTGGTCGCTGGCAGTTGAAATTCAATTTTACTTAATCGTCCCAGTGCTAATGGTACTTCTGTCAGTACCATTTGCAGGAAAACTTTTATGGTGCGCTGTTTTTTTTTCATCTTTATGGTACAACATAACAGCTACTGGACCTCTTCAGTTTTCCTCTCTTCAAAGCCGAATGTGGCAGTTCATATGTGGTGGAATAGTTAACATTCTTCCGAAAGGTAAGTGAAAGTAGCATTATTCCTGTTATAAACTGAATTTGCTTTGTGTTTATGGAACTAAACGTAAAAGCTGATAATACATTACGCGAAGGACGTATTAGCTCAGGATTTTTCTTGTTTATAAATTTCCTTAAAGAGTACCAGAATTCTCTCGTTCTTGTTCCTGGATTGGTTTTATTATCGCCAGTGACTTTTCTGTTGCCACTAAGCGCAGCTATTCTTCGCCTTATATGTACTCTCAGTGCTGCAACGGTGATATACTTCGGTAATGAGCTCACGAATAAGTACGTTCTGGGCAATTCGGTCCTTTGTTTCGTCGGAGATGTTTCGTACTCTGTTTACCTTTATCATTGGCCAACTATCATGTTTATGAAATATTATGCAGGAAATGACACTCTAAAATTAGCAGGTACTTTAAACATTGTCAAAGCTCTCTGATTTTCTTATTTATGAGTATGACATTTGGAAAGTGTTAATGTTAGTTAATGCACCTCTCAGTATGCATAGCAAACTGCTGCTAGTGGTTTTCCCTAGACCTTCGGTGCACCTAGTGTAATTCAAAATTACCATCTAGCTTTCAGATGCTATCATCGCCTTGGAACTATCGATTTTCCTCGGTTACCTGTCATATAAATTTGTTGAGAAGAAATTTTTGCGGTGTAATTTTTCTTATACTCTTTGCTTCGTTTGTATTTTAGCGACTGGCATTCTGTTCAGCAAAATAATTACAACACACAAGTTACCTCTCTCGTCTTCTTTGAAGACAAACTACTTCAACGACCGCGAAACAAAAACTAGATTTGGTCAGCATTTTATGCATGTTATGCAAACGAATTGAGTGAGTTGGTCAAAAATAAACAATCTTGTGTTGGGTGCCGAAGAGGTTTAACAGTTTCACTTGTAAGAGCTGTTAGACCGGTTTTTTAGCGAAAAATAGTAGGGCAGAGTATTTTATTTTCTATACTTTTTTAGCGAAAAAGAGGAAAATTTTGCAGAAAACATTTTTTTCTACGAGAAAATATTTGAGAAAAATATTTTGCAGTGTAAGTGGTAAAAGAAAAAACTTGTTTTCTTCACATTCACTTCTTATATTTTTAAGAAAAACAGTGTTATCACTTTCGAGACGTCTCGTATATGCCTGCAAAAATAACAGATGCTGTTCGGAAGAAAGCCATTGAAAAAAACAAATTCTTTATAAAGGCTATTTTGCCGTTTTATAGACGAGATCTTAAGCTAACAGATCCTTTGCTTGTCAAGTATTTTGGAAAAATCGAAGTTCAGAATGAGTTTATTGATTATTTCAAGGTAATATTTTCTGCAAAATTTTGTATTATTTTACCAAAAGAAAAACAGTTCGTGAAAGTCAGACTTTCAAAGCAAAATCTGGTGATATCTCAAAAACAGTCACTCGAAACACTTTTCCAGCACAGCATTGTATTTTCTAAATTAACATACCAGAGAGTATTCAGTTTGATAACTATGAAATTTAAATTTTCTCTGCCATTTTAATAAATTTTTTAGGGCAGCGGGACACTGTCGGTAGCAGTAATAGGAAACAGCTTCGCCCACAGCGCATTTTTTGCCGTAGTTGAGGCATTTGAGAAAAACATCAAAGAAATACGTCTATTATCCTGTCCCGCTTGTCAACCTTTTTTCAATGCTACTAAAACCCATAATGACAGATATACTGCTGCATGCGTTCGCTACTTTGAAAAAACCATTGCACTTATTACTGAGATGAAACCCGATATTATATTTCTAATTTTTAAGTAAGTAATTTTGATAAGGTCAAGGTTAGGAACTTTTCTGAAATGAGCAAGCTACGCCTGCAACAGGAGAAATTTATCAGGGCAAAATCACATAAACTAAGAAAATATTTTTCACATAAATGACATTTTAAACTCTTGCTTGTTTCGTTTCCTTCCTCGTTTTATGCTCTTTACCTTCCCCCAGTATATGCTAAGCATCAGCTTTGCAAACACCAACGAGTAACGATAAGTGAAGATTTGATAGCTGCCACTTGAACTAAGCAATAAGCTGAAAAAAAGTAGTAATAATAATAATACTAATAAAGTAGGAAACTAATAATACTAATAAAGTAGGAAAAACAAGCAATAAAAAGCACACCAAAACCATCGCTGCAACAGCTTTCTTTCTCCAACCTTTATCATCATCTCGCTAAACATTTTCATACAAAAATGATAAAACGAGAAGGCGTCAAAGGTACATCATTATTTTACGTTTAAAGCGTACCGTGCCGCAGCATTTGTTACAGGCCAGTTTACGGCACAATTGCGTACTACAACAGTACTACCAGCGATGAATATCAAAAATGGATGCAAGAAAGCATCAAGTACTACTCAAACATATCAAAAGCTATTATTCTACAAATGCCAGTGCCGCACCCTCAAAAGTATAATCTTAAAAACCTATTTGAGGCGGAGCTCGCATAAAAAGCTCGTTTTTTGTTTCACTTTTTTATCTTTTTTCACCGTAGCTGGTAAATTCCTAATTTTTACAACATTCGATTATCCTCTTCAGGTCTAACACGAATTTAATTCTGAAAAATTTGGAAAAAAAGCTAAGTTTTGATGGCGTGTACGCAAAATATTCCGATTTCCAACAACTATTCCGATATGCTTTTCGACGCTTGGAGAGCCTAGAGTGTGATAAGTGTGTCAAAGTCTATCCACACAGAATATTTTGCGACTCAAAAGTTTGTTTTTCGTAGAGCAATTTCAACGGCAAGAATCAACATTTTCAACAACATGTATAATTAATTTTTTTTTAAAAAAAGGCATTACTGGTAAAACTTACGGTAACAAAAAGCAGCGAAAGTATAAAAGACTAGAAACAGCTACGCCGTTTATTCATACTTTTATACATCTTATACTGCCACTTTTCTGGAAAATTACTCAGAATGCTCTACTTCTCTATTAATCATCGGTTATTATAAAGCTCGTGCCCACTTTCAGGTTTGTCGAACTTTCGATCCCGATAATATGTATTCCTTTTACGACTCTTCAACTCATTTGAATCAGTATGCTCATAAGTGTGTCAAGAGGCTTTACCGGGAGACGCTAGACGAAATAATTGCAGATGGCTATTTTTCATAGTCGATTGCGCTAGCGAAGACTACGTTCAGATAATGTCTTAATTTATTTATTATTTAAGATAAGAATGGCAAATAAAAATTCTGTAAAATTTTAGCCAAATACAAAAAAGCTATAAGCCTCGATTATTTGAATGAAAAGCGGATTACCAACTAATTAGTCTTTGGAAAAGAGAGCTGCTAATTCCAGAGTCAATGTACACCTCAAGCGTGGATAATTAAATCAGAAAATAGGCATAAAGCAACAACAACGACGAAAGCCCAATAACCGTGCCACTTGTTCTACAAGAACAAAACAAACAAAGCGCAAAAGTTAGCAGGAAAGGATAGCAAACCCATGTAACCTCAGTGAATCACGACGAGCACAGTCATCTAAAACGACGATTGAGATTAGAGCTCATTAAGACCAGTGACCTCATTTTTTTTGCCTGTCCCGGTACGCAAGGCTCGCAGCAGGCGAGCAGTAAGCGACTGCTCTGTCTACTGACGCGCAGCGTGATTAAATCAAACAAGCTAACTGACTTCTCTTATAAATATAAATGTTAAAATGCCGACGGGCTTGCATGAGAAACAGCGAAGCTCATTTGGACTGGTGGCCCCATCATGCTGATTGGCTAGGGAGGATCATGGCAATTAGAACGTTGCTTTTTTTGTGCAGTAAGTAGATGTCATATACAGTATGTGTAACTCACTGATAACGGTGTGAGGTCCCTCCTCACTTCTCTAATGCACAGTATGCGCAATCCATCTAGAGTTGGTTGCAAACAGTCATACAGGAAACTCAAAAGATTATGGTGCTCTGCAAGTTTTTAAACTTAGAAATCTTCCTTCCTCTTTCTCTCCTTCAACTAACCGCTAATAACTTCAAATATGCCTCAAAATGCTGCGGCCTTGAGCTTTCACTTGGCACAGGAGATTGTGAGCTAGCGTGTCGCGTAGTGGCTCTGTTCCCAGCAAACATCCTGGTTTTTCGCTGGTAAAGCTTCAGAATTTCCGGTTGTGTTTGCAAATCCCTGCTGCTGAAAACTACCTTCTGCCAATCTTGGATGTTATTTATTGTCTTCCATCAATTGAGTGTTAATCGGTGTGTTTTTTCTTAAACTTCAATGAATCGCTTACGTTGTTTTGATCATAGAAATCTTTCTCAAAAACTCATGCTTTCTGATGAAAACTTTGAGGCTTTTCTTCTTTTCGTTCAGCGGGTTTGTTTTTGCGCGGTAGTATAACCCTAATTGCTGATAAAAGTGAAAACGGTAGCGTACGAAAAAGGTATTTTGGTACAAATAGAGGGGTTGCAGGGAAAAGATGAGGTTTCAAGTGGAGACGTTTTATGAAAGAGGAATTTTAAAGCCAAAAGAAGTTTTTTATTTATTTGACTGTTAGACGCAGGTTCGCATGCCAGTGTGCGACCAAATTGCACTGAACATGCGTCGGGAAACTGGCAGTACGACAGGCTCCGCCACCATCGTTTCTTATTTTGAAGCCTTCCGGAAGGCATGCGTCTCTCACTTTAACACGCATCCTGTTAAGCTTCGCACACCAGGCAAGGTCGTTGAGATTGTTGAGACGGATTTAGCCTGCAAAAAAAAAAATAAAGAGAGGCTTGTTCCACATCAGTGGT